CAGTCTCCCGGGACAGATCAAGTCTCAATCCCTCACGGCCTACATCCACACGCCCGTCACCTAGCATGGGTGCCACCTCCAAACAGTCACATTATACCAAACTCCGGGTTCCATACCCTCAAGACCAGATTTAATACTGTTACTTATCTCAACATCGTAGAACTCCTACTCCAGAATGCTCTTGCCCCTCGACTCGGCCTCCAAATGCTCCGAATCTATTCACAATCAGTACAATACCATCAATATACGTTAATGGAATGAATTTCACAAGAAAAACTATCATATTAGCCCAAAGCCCGAAATTGGCTCAACCCGCCCCCGGGCCCACGTCTCAAAATACGATAAAATTTTCAAAACTAGAAAGCTCATCCATTCACGAGTCTAACTGTACCAAATTCATCAAAATTCAACATCGTTTGGTCCTTCAAATCCTTAAATTAAACTCTCCAAAATCCAAAGCCCTAACCCCTCATTTTCACTAATTACAATGATTAAACAATGGAAAATCACCATACATACGAGTATTAGGGCTCAAGAAACTTACCTCACTGATAGCCCTTGAATCACCCTTCAAAAATTACTCCAAAAGCTCCAAAACCTACTTGAAAATGGTGGAAATGAACCAAATTCGCGAAGGGTTCTATTTATGGTTTCTGCCCAGGTTTTTCGCATATGCGGACAAATTTCATGCTTCTGTGCCACCGCACTTGCGGAAAATCCATTGCAGGTGCTGAACTCACTCAGGAGCCCAGGTTCCGCATCTGCGGCCCAAACCCCCGCACCTGCGAAGGTGCACCTGCGCGTTTTCCTTCCGCTTCTGCGAAGCCTTCCCAGCATCCCCTTTCCGTATCTGCGCCCCAGGTTTCGCACCTGCGAGCTCGCAGATGCGACCTCCAACTCGCACATGCGCATCCTGCCTAGCTAAGCATTGCCCGCTCCTGCGGACTTCCCATGCGCACAAGCGGCCTCGCACCTGTGACTCTTCCTCCCGCATGTGTGGAAATAGCAGTAGCAGCTGCTTCAGCTGCATTTTCCAACTTCGACAAATCCGTTAACCACCCGGAATCACCTCGAGGCCCTCGGGACCTCAATCAAAAATACCAACAAGTCATATATCAACATACAAACTTATTCGAGCTTTCGAATCACTCAAAACAATATCAAATCACTAAATTACCCTCGGATTCAAGCCTAAGAACTTCTAAACTTTCAAATTCAATAACCGATGCCGAAACCAACCAAACCACGTCTGAATGACCTCAAATTTTGCACACACGTCACAAATTACACTACGAACCCACTTCCACTTCCATAATTCCATTCCGACCCCGATATCAAAATTTTCCACTGCCGACCGAAAATCGCCAAATTTCTAATTTCGCCAATTCAAGCCTAATTCTACCACGGACCTCCAAATCACATTCCGGACATGCTCCTAAGTCCAAAATCACCTAACGAAGCTAATGGAACCATCAGAATTCCAATCCGAGGTCAAATGCTAAAAATTAAAACTTGGTCAACTCTCCCAATTTAAAGCTTCAATAATGAAATTCTTTCTTCCACTTCGATTCCGAAATACCTGCAAACCAAAAACGACGATTTACACAAGTCAAAGTATATCATACGGAGCTACTCATACCCTCAAATAACTGAGCGAAGTATAAATATTCAAAATGACCGGTCAGATCGTTACACTCCACAAATCCTAAGAAAATTACAACAGTAGAACAGTGGCCTATTCCTACTAATGTCAAACAGTTGATAGGCTTACTAGGTCTTGTTAGGTATTATAGGAGGTTTATATAGGGCTATGGATCCATTTCCAGGCCATTGCATGACTTACTCAAGAAGGATGGTTACACATGGAATTCTGAAGCCACTGCAGCTTTTGGTAAGCTAAAACAAGCATTGATCTCTGCCCCTGTGTTGGCAATGCCTGACTTCTCAAAGCCCTTCTTGGTACAGCCACTCCCTATTCCTGATGGAGTATGGACTCACATCTACTTGATTTTATTGAAGGCTTGCCTAAATCTCATGGCAATGATGTTATTCTAGTTGTTGTGGATTGACTCAGTAAGTATAGGCATTTTACGAGCCTCCAACATCCATACACTGCTCATACAATGGCCCAATCCTTCGTAGATAATGTTTACAAACTACATGGATGGCCTGTTACAATCACAAGTGATAGGGATCTAGTGTTTCTCAGCAATTTTTGGCAGGAATTGTTTGCTTTTCAAGGGGTTCAGCTACATAGATCTACCTCATATCACCCTCAGACTGATGGGCAAATTGAAGTTTTAAATAGAACATTAGAGATCTATCTCAAGTGCTTTTGTTCTGATAGTCCTCATGATTGGCCTAAGTACTTACCATTAGCCGAATGGTGGTATAACACCACATATCACACTGCTATTAAGTGTAGTCCTTATGAGATATTATATGGTCAAAAACCACTACTCCATGTCCCTTATCAAGCTGGAGAAGCTGTATCAGAGATGGTTGATAGATCATTAGCTGCTAGAGAAGCTATGGTTCAGCTACTGAAGTTCCACATTTTGAGAGCACAACAAAGAATGAAGGACTTAGCTGACAAGCATAGGTCTGATAGAAGCTTTGAAGTAGGGGATTGGGTGTATCTCAAATTACAGCCATACAGACAGGTTTCAGTAGCCACTAGGCCATTCAACAAGTTAGCTGCCAAGTACTATGGCCCCTATCCTATTGATGCTAAGGTTGGAGTTGTTGCTTACAAGCTCCTGCTACCTCCTGATGTCTTGACCCATCACACTTTCCATGTATCTCAACTAAAAATGTGCCATGAAGTTCCAGTTGTCATCAATCATCCTCCTGTATTTCACTTCACTAGTCCCTACTGTCCATTGCCTGAAGAAGTCCTAGCAAAAAGAATGGTGAAGAAGGGTAACAAAGTTGTCATGCAAGTGTTGGTGAAATGGACAGATATTGATCCTGCTCAAGCTACTTGGGAATATCTTTTAGAACTTCAACATAGATTTCCTACATTTTAGTCTTGAGGACAAGATAGTTCTTCTGTAGGGGGTATTGTTACAATTATTAGTGATGTTAGCTGATGTTGTTAGTACTTAGCTGAGAATATTAGAGTTAGTTACACAGCTAACAGTTAGTTACACTATAGAAGCTATCGGAAATTAGTTGAGTTAGTTGAAGTCACAAAGTTAGTTAGGAAGTTTGTTGCAGTTAGTTAGACTATTGAGCTGAGATCTTCAATATATAGAGTGTAATATGTACATTGGATTCATTCATGAAAATATCATTCTACTCTTACTCTTAAACTCTTCTCAAGCTAAATTCTCGGTACTACCCCTACTTTAGTTCATTGTTCTTCGAAATCCTTACATTTCCTAGATCAAATTTTCTTTTTGATTGCGTTGTGTGCATCAGATTTCATGGACAAACATATTTCTGAAAAAAAGTTGAAATTAAGGGAAAAAATTTTATGAACAAATGGGGCCTAATAGTTTACAGGTGTTAAACCAAATAAGGAGTTCAAAACGACAAAGCCACGTCTAACACGAGTTCATGGCACTAGTCAGTAACATCGCTCAAAGTATTTTGTTTAATTATTTGATATTTAGAACTACTAATTCAATCAAATTCGAGTCAGGTAAGCTCAATAAACAGGCACTGCGAAGAAATTTCTCTTTTCAAAAGCTCTAATTCAAATTTTTTATTAAGAGTGAAACGATCTCAATCATTCCAATCCAGTTAATTTATGTATTATTTTGTATGGGTTAGAAGGTAAAATACGTTATATATAGGAGTGTCAATGGTTCCGTTTGGTCGGTTATTTTATAATATTTATATTATACTAATTTTTAGGTTAGTTTATTTTATATAAGCAAAATTAGACTTTTCGAAACCATCCCAACATCTCGGTTTCTCTTCGGTATCGGTAAAGTTCGATTAATTTTTAATTTTTTTAAAAGAAACTTAATAATTGATTTAGTGGTACAGTTACTTAGTCAATTTTTAAAGATCCATGCACACCCCTAGTAATATGTACTAAGTAACAGTACAGTCAAACCTCTCTGTAATAGCCTCATTTATTTCGATATTTTTTGGTTGTTATGGTGAAGTGATGTTATAGAGAACATATATTATAACATAATATTAAAATCGGTTCCGAGAAAAACTTGACTTTTATAGTGAATGGTTGTTATATAAGGATGTTGTTATAGAGAAGTTTGACTGTATATGAATAAGAGCAAAAATACTTTACAATAAATAACCTTAAGTAACAATTCCTTATTGTTTAATTTATTCCATGTATTACAATTTATGTGTTATTTATGCTCCATATTACAATTCGTATTATTTATTCTTTATATAACAATCCTCGTATTATTATGATAACAATCCTTAGTATTACAATCCCGGTTTAACTAAATCATAACCCAAACAACCCTAGTTTTGATAAAATAAAGGAATAGGAGATTTTCACCGACCAATCCAAAAGATGCCAGATGTGACTAGAACTTTACGGTTAATAAACTCCACACACCAGATAACTAAGTGAAAATAGCATGGGCTAGCCAGTTATCGAAAAATAGTCAGTGTTTGTAAAATTATTGAAAAATAGCCATTATTGTATGCAAAGATAAAATCTAGTCGAAAATACCTCAGCTAAAATACTAAAAGGTCCAGCATAATATGCCGGATTATGGAGCTCTTGCGTATAAACTTGCAACATATTATGTTGGAACTCCAACACATTAGTAAAGCATTCGAACTCCGGCCTATTATGCTGGAATTATTCCGGATTTTCAAGAATATTTTTGTTCAGATTTTATCTTTACACGAAAATGCACTAAATTTCAATTATTTTTGAAAGAATGACTATTTTTTAATTACTAATTGTAAATCAGCCTATTTTTGATTTTTTTCCCCAAAAAACCCTAATATATACACAACTATCTCTTCCTACTATGCACTATCCACTTGGTCTTTTCACCAAAATCCTTCTGACGCAAACAACAAAACAAACAGGAAACAAGTAGTAGATTCAGAAAACTACATATATAATTGCTAAAACCATGTACATGATTCATTCAACGTCGACATGGACAAGGTACGAGGACAAGTTATTCGAGGAGGCTTTAGTTATGTACCCTGAAGGTGTTGTTAACAGATGGCAGAAAATTGCAATTCATGTTCCTGGTAAGAGTCCTGAGGATGTTATGGCTCACTATGATGCACTTGTCCATGATGTGTTCGTGATTGACTCGGGACGAGTCGACATCCCGAGTTACAATCATCGTTCTTCCGAGTGGGAGCCTGAATCTGGAACCAGAACCAGAACCAGTCATAATATCTCTTTTGAATCAAATTACAAGAACCATGCTGAACAGATCAGGAAAAAGGGCACCCCTTGGACCCCAGAAGAACACAGGTTTTCCCCACTCGTGTCTTAATTATTTGTGCAACACTATTTCATTGTGTGGTCTACATATATTCCATCAATACATATCATATTGCTTGAGGTGAATTTAGAATTTAGAATTTATTTTACTTTTAAAATTGTGGAATCAGATTTTAAATATAAAAAAAAAAGGGCATCCTGGTGCACATCCCGATCCCGCGTTCACGCAGGGTGCGGGGAAGGGATGCACTCTAAGGAGATGTAATGTAGGCAACCTACCTTGATATAAGTATCAGTGGTATTTAGGCTTTTGAGCCGAGAATCTATCGGAAATAGCTTCTCTACCTTCTCAAGATAGGAATAAGGTCTGCGTACACTACCGTCTCCAGACCTCACTCGTGGAATTGCACTGAGTTTGTTATTGTTGTTGTTGTTGGTACAATTTTCTTACTTTTGGAAAATTATGTGAGTTTACAACCTATAATCCTTGTCGTCCTCAATATTTTCCGCCTTATAAGTCTTCTTAATTACCTATTGGGTACTATTCTGGGTTAATTTATTTATCGCTCTTCTTAGCGTTTCCGATATGAAGAGTTTAAAGATTGCTTTAGAAAAATATGAAGTCAGTAAAGTAACAAGATTTTAGCTGAAAATGAGCCTCTTTAATTTAAACTAGTTACATATCCTTATCTCTATGTTACATTAAAAGATTTTATTATGACAAACCGGGCTAGTTGTCACTATTTAATATTTAGGTCTCTGAATAAAGTCAAAAGGTAGGTTCGATATCTCCGTTGATTGGAAGGCACTTGTCACACTTAAGGGAAGACGAGATTTTCATGAAGGAGATTCAAGAAAATACTAAAGTGTCGCACCTATGAGTTGTACTCACAATTTAATACAACGAACACCTTTGAAAGCTTCTCTTGTGTCAAGGGGATTCGACCGACCATTATGTGCTCCAGTTTGTGTGGCAACATTTCCTTTTTAGTTCGTTCGTAAAAGACTACCAACCTTTTATTTTAAAAACAGTTTAACTTAAACTTTTCATTTTAGCTTTATGAGATGCTTTTGACAGTCATACAAATAATATTGTTTGTTTGGGACCACAAGTTTCAAAAGTCTTATAATCACAAAAATGTTATGACATATTTAAAACACGTAATCCACAAGTTTTAAACGTTTTTCGTTTTTTCTTAAACTTGGTGCTTATTCAACCTTTGTCACATAAAATAGGACGGAGGGAATAGGCATATGCATACAAAGATTCGTTTGACCTATATAGGGTAACCCGGTGCACGACGCATCCCGCATTCACACATGGTCCGGGAAAGGGTTGCACCCCAAGGGGTGTAATGTATACAGTTTAATTACCCTAATCCACAAGCATTAGCGACTGCTCCCAGGGCTGGAACCCATGACTTATAGGTCACACAGAGACAATTTTGCCGTTGCTCCAAAGCTCCCTTCTCTTATGAAAGGGATGTTAATGTTATGTTGACTTACAATCCTTGAATTTCTTCTCTCAGATTATTCCTTATTGGGCTGGAGAGATATGGAAAGGGTGACTGGAGAAGCATTTCAAGAAATGTAGTGGTAACAAGAACTCCTATGCAGGTGGCAAGTCATGCTCAAAAATACTTTAAGAGACAAGAGTCAATGAAAAAGAAAGAAAGGAAAAGGTCCAGCATTCATGACATTACAGTGGATACCAATATTCTGCTTCCTCAAAACAATAACCAGAATCAAGGAGTCTATCAGAATTACAACTTCCCTTTGTAAATAATGGTACATGAATGTTACAATGGACTATCCAAACTTGTAAAGTTTTTCTTCATAGCTAGCTGACAGTTGGGTAGCCCGGTGTACGAATCATCCCGCGTTTACGCAGGATTCGGGGAAGAGCCGCACCCAAACGGGGTGTGATGTAGGTAGTCTATTTTGATGCAAGCATCGGCGGCTGATTCCACAGTTCGAACCCGTAACCTATAGGTCACACAGCTACAACTTTACCATTACTTCAAGACTCAGCTAGCTGACAGTTGATTTAGGGAATTATTTAGTGAATTTTGGAGCTTATATATCGATCTTTAACATGTTATTATTATATATAGTTAGTGGAAATTGTTGGATTTTTGTAGTAGGACGAAACGGTATTCAATGTGTTTGCCTTTTCTTTGATGAAGATTATGTTCTATGGTCCTGCATCTTCTACTGTAACTTGATATTAGCAATTTACTATGAAGTCAAGTTAAATTGCAGAAACATCTCTAGCTTTAACTAAACCTAACAACAAATTAACTCTGATTGTCAAGGTTGAGTACACAGAGGGTTGATTTCACAGCTTAGGATGAGAAAGAAAGATTTCATCTCGTCTTTAAAGCAATCGTCTTGTAGACTACTCTTCGTTCCTTCGACCTCATAGTTGTTGGGATTGAAATAATAAGGCGTCACGCGGAAACTAAAATTACAAACTTTGAACGACAATAAATAAGACGACATACATTTCATAGCATTGATATTTTGCAAGCTTACTATAAAGAGTTGGGCATGTCCAACTCTTATTCATATTCTAAGGAGGTTAGGTTTTATTGATGGGGTCCATCTCATTCAAAAGTCAAAGTAATAGGCATGTGCCTAAAGAAAAATTCTTTGGTTTGGTAGCCAACTTTGTTGAATTTCTTTGGTTTGGTAGCCAACTTTGTTGAATTTTTTTGGTTTGATAGCCAATTTTGTTGAATTGTCAATATTGAAGAAAAAGAAGAAAAAGTGTGTGCAAATTGTCAAATATAGTAGGCTTTAGAGAGTGAGGCTTCGGCTATAATAGGAGAGCTTCAGCTCTCATTTCCACACACCAACAAAGAGAGAAAGAAAGAGTGGTTTCACAGACAGGGTATAAGAAAATAGTCTGTGAGAAAAATAGAGAGTGAGTGATATTATAGTGAGGTAAGAATATCAAAAGAGGGTTATTTTTTTTTTGAGTGTTATAGTGGTCTTTGGAGCATTTTACTCAGACCTATAAAGTGTAAAATTCTTTGCTATTGTGATATCAGTTACTCGTCTCGGGGCCGTGGTACCGATCCAAATCAAGAGCTAGAAATTGCTACAATTGTGATCAACCAGGTCACTTTAAAAGAGATTTTCCAAATCCAAGGAAGGGCAAAGGTGAAACTAGTGGCCAGAAGAATGACGACAATACAACTGCCATGGTGCAAACCAATGATAATGCTGTCCTCTTTATAAATGAGGAAGAGGAATGCATGCACTTATCAGGTCCAGAGTCGGAATGGGTAGTTGATACAGCAACATCTTTCCATGCCACACCGGTAGGAGATCTTTTTTGCAAATATGTAGCAGGTGATTTCGGCATTGTGAGAATGGGTAACACAAGTTACTCAAAGATTGCGGGGATTGGTGACATTTGTATCAAGACAAATGTCGGATGCACATTGATTCTGAAGGACGTGCGACATGTACCTGATTTACCAATGAACTTGATCTCAGAAATTTCTTTAGACCGAGATGGATACGATAACTATTTTGCAAATCAAAAGTGGAGACTCACCAAGGGATCATTGGTGATTGCAAAGGGAGTTGCGCATGGCACGTTGTACAGGACAAATATAGAAATATGCCAAGGTGAATTAAACGCGACACAAGATGAGATTTCTGCAGATTTGTGGCACAAAAGAATGGGTCATATAAGCGAGAAGGGATTGCAGATTCTTGCCAAAAAATCACTTATTTCTTATGTCAAAGGTACAATGGTAAAACCTTGTGACTACTGTTTATTTGGTAAGCAACATAGAATCTCATTTTAGAAATCGTCTGAAAGAAAATTAAATGCTTGATTTGGTATATTCTGATATTTGTGGTCCAATAAAAATTGAATCGATGTGCGGAAACAAATATTTTGTTACTTTTATTGATGATGCTTCACAAAAATTATGGGTTTATATTTTGAAAATCAAAGATCAGGTGTTTCAAGTTTTTCAGAAGCTTCATGATATGGTGGAAAGGGAGACAGGCCAAAAGCTAAAGCGTCTCCGAAGTGACAATGGAGGTGAGTACACTTCAAGGAAATTTAAAGAGTATTGTTCGAGCCATAGGATTAGACATGAAAAGGCAATTCCTGGAACCCCACAACACAATGGCGTAGCCGAAAGGATGAACCGCACCATTGTGGAGAAGGTGAGAAGCATGCTCAGAATGGCTAAACTGCCTAAGTCATTATGGGGTGAAGCAGTTCAGATAGCTTGTTACCTGATCAATAGGAGTCCATCAGTTCCATTGGCGTTTGACATCCCAGAGAGAGTTTGGACCAACAAGGAAGTGTCCTACTCGCATCTAAAGGTGTTCGGTTTGCAGAGCTTTTGCACATGCACCAAAGGAGCAAAGAACAAAGCTGGATGATAAATATGTTCCCTGCATATTCATCGGATATGGAGATGAAGAGTTCAGATACAGATTGTGGGATTTTGCAAAGAAGAAGGTCATCAGAAGCAGAGATGTAGTCTTCCGAGAAAGTGAAGTTGGAACTGCTGACGATATGCTAGAGAAGGCCAAGAATGGTATAATTTCCAACCTTATTACTATTTCTTCTACTTCTAACAATCCCACAAGTGCAGAAAGTAGGACCGACGAGGTTGCCGAGTAGGGGGAGAAACATGGTGAGGTTATTGAGCAGGGGGAGAAACTTGATGATGATGTAGAGCAAGTGGAGCACCGCACTCAGGGAGAAGAACAACCTCAACCTTTGAGGAGATCAGAAAGGCCAAAGATAGAGTCATGCAGGTACCTTGCCACAGAGTATGTCCTCATCAGTGATGAGGGGGAGCCAGAAAGTCTTAAGGAGGTGTTGTCCTATCCAGAAAAGAACCAGTAGATGAAAGCCATGCAAGAAGAATGGACTATCTACAGAAAAATGGCACTTACAAGCTGGTTTAACTTCCAAAGGGTAAAAGACTACTCAAATGTATGTGGGTCTTTAAAATCAAGAAAGATGGAAACGAAAAATTGGTCAGATACAAAGCTCGATTGGTGGTTAAAGGCTTCGAACAGAAGAAAGGTATTGATTTTGATGAAATGACTTCTATTCGAACAATCTTGAGCTTAGCAGTTAGCCTAGATCTTGAAGTGGAGCAGTTGGACGTGAAAACTGTATTTCTTCACGGAGATTTGGAAGATGAGATCTATATAGAGCAGCCGGAAGGTTTTGAAGTAGCTGAAAGGAAATACATGGTGTGCAAACTGAATAAGAGTCTTTAAGGGTTGAAGCAGGCACCAAGGCAATGGTACAAGAAGTTTGACTCATTCATGAAAAGTCAAACTTACACAAAGACATATTATAATCCATGTGTATACTTCAAAAGATTTTATGAAAATAACTTTATTATATTGTTGTTGTATATGGATGAAATGTTAATTGTAGGAAAAGACAAGGGGCTGATCGCAAAGTGGAAGGGAGATTTGCCCAAGTCATTTGATATGAAGGGCTTGGGCCCATCACAACAAATTCTGGGTATGAAGATAGTTCGAGAGCGAACAAGCAGAAAGTTGTGGCTGTCTCAAGAAAAGTACATTGAACGCGTGCTGGAACGCTTCAACATGAAGAATGTTAAGCCAGTCAGCACACCTCTTGCTAGTCATCTAAAGTTGAGCAAGAAGATGTGTCCTACAACAGTGGAGGAGAAAGTGAACATGGCTAGAGTTCCTTATTCTTCAGTAGTCGGAAGCTTGATGTATGCAATGGTATGCACCAGACCTGATATTGCTCATGCAGTTGGTGTTGTTAGCAGATTCCTTAAAAATCCTAGAAAGGAACATTGGGAAGCAGTCAAGTGGATAATCAGGTACCTGAGAGGTACCACGGGAGATTGTTTGTGCTTTGGAGGATCTCATCCAATCTTGAAGGGCTATACAGATACTGATATGGCAGGTGACATTGATAACAGAAAATCACTACTGGATATTTAATTATATTTTCAGGGGGAGCTATATCATGGCAGTCTAAATTGTAGAAGTGTGTTGCACTTTCAACACAACTGAAGCAGAGTACATTGCCGCTATAGAAGCTGGCAAGGAAATGGTATGGCTCTAGCGGTTTCTTCAAGAGCTGGAAATGCATCAAAAAGAGTATGTCGTCTATAATGATAGTCAAAGTGCAATAAACTTGAGCAAGAATTCCATGTACCATGCAAGAACAAAGCATATAGATGTGAGATATCATTGGATTCGTGAGCAGGTGGAGAACGAATCTTTATAGGTCAAAAAGATTTACACGAGTGAAAATTCTACTGATATGTTGACCCAGGTGGTACCAAGAGACAAGTTCAACCTATGCAAAGAACTTGTCGGCATACACTCAAACTAGAAGACAATGCTACCTCGTCTAGATGAATGAGACTGGAGGGGGATATTGATGGGGTCCATCTCATTCAAAAGCCAAAGTAATAGGCATGTGCCTAAAGAAATTTGTTTTTGGTTTGGTAGCCAACTTTGTTGAATTTATTTGGTTTGGTAGCTAACTTTGTTGAATTTCTTTGATTTGGTAGCCAACTTTGTTGAATTGTCAACATTGAAGAAAAAGAAGAAAAAATATCTGCAAATTGTCAAATATAGTAGGCTTTAGATAGTGAGGCTTCGTCTATAAAAGGAGAGCTTCAGCTCTTATTTCCGCACACCAACAAAGAGAGAAAGAAAGAGTGAGGTTTTACATACAGGGTATAAGAAAATAGTCTGTGAGAAAAATAGAGAGTGAGCGATATTATAGTGAGGTGGGAATATCAAAAGAGGGTTATTTCTTTTGAGTGTTATAGTGGTCTTTGGAGTATTTTACTCGAACCTACAAAGTGTAAAATTCCATGCTATAGTGATATCAGTTGCTCGTCTTGGGGCCGTGGTTTTTTCCCTTATTCAAAAGGGTTTTCCACATAAAAATTTTGGTGTCGTTGTCACTCTTTTATTCGTGTAAATTACCGTATCTCGGTGCTACATTATTATTCCACTTTTATTACTGTGAATATTATTTCTGTAGGGGGTTTATTCCCAACATTTATGTCTCCCTCCTTCATGTCTTCAGATTTTGGTTATTAATCTATATGGTAGGGGGCGATGCCAAACCCCCCGTCATTACAAAATGACTTTAATAAAAATCAGACGACAAAGAAAAAAATATTAAACTAGGTATAATAATTTATTACGATTTGATCGATCAATCGACCTATATATGATTTGTCATTAATATAAAAACAGAAAATGAATTTTTTGAAAGAATAAGCTCCCCTAAACAACTCTCTAAAAGACTACATTGGGGAGGTTGTTGTGTTCTGTTGTGAGAAGCAAATATCTCAATAAGTGTACACGACTTTTCCTCCAAGAAAAAAATAAGTCAGTTGTCACTTTTATCTCTTCGGACCATTATAAAACAAAGGTTAACAAATGGACTTCACGTTTGTTTTTGCTTTAAAAATTGGTTGTTTTGTCTTTCATAGCATAGTACCCGTCGCCTTCTTAGCTATTAGCTCTCGTTTTCATCAATTAATCCAAGGAAGAACGAACAAATAGCAGCCATAGTGATATCAAACAGCCAGCAAATATGAATTTTGTTTGGCTTCTGCAACAGATGTGTAAATTCAGCAACATTTGTTCATGAAAATATATTCTATTGATTCAACTGCGTCATGGACTTCACTAAGTACTTCTTGTTACTCATTTCACTTTTTGTCGTTGGCATTTCAAGAATTGCAAATGCAAGTGATCCTGACATACTTTCAGACTTCATTCTCCTAGAAAATCAAACATCAGCATGTGGAGACTTCTTCACTTATACTGGCATGCGCGGGATCGTTCACAAAGCCCCAAAAACCTTTACTGTGACAAAAGCTAGTTTAGCAGAATTCCCAGCTCTAAATGGCCAAAGTGTGTCACTTGCCATATTACAATTTCCCCCGGGTGCTGTTAACCCGCCTCACACGCATCCTCGTGCGTCTGAGCTCTTGTTCCTCGTACAAGGCGTTCTAGAAGTTGGATTCATCGACACAAAGAACGTTCTGTATACACAGAAGCTCAGAGCTGGAGACATGTTTATCTTCCCTAAAGGACTAGTTCATTACCAGTATAACCGGAACCATTATAAACAAGCTGTGGCCATCTCTGCATTTGGTAGCGCGACTGCTGGCACTGTTTCATTGCCATTGTCTATTTTTGGCAATGATATTGATGATATTGTACTTTCCAAGTCGTTGAAGACCGATGTTGGCATCATTGAGAAGATTAAAGCAGGATTTCCCAAACCCTGAATTTAGGCCTGGAGTCACTACCTAAAGACATAGTATCAAGTGTTGGATCCATGATCTAGTACTTCTAGTAGTTATGCTATGTATGTACTTGATGAAATCTTGAGGACAATAAACTTGTTTAAAAGACATTGTTATATGGCTTGATCATGTTATTAGGTTTCAATTTCAAAATTTCAGAGTTATCTTCTTCATGCATTAATATGGTATTAACTTTAAATTAACGCGAAGCTGTAACCATATTTTCTGCTCCCTCCTAATCTTGTGGTGAAACCGCCACTAGAAGTATTGTGCGAAATATAAAATCGCATAAAGAGTATTGAATGAAGAGTTATGTCAAATATAAAGTTGCAGACCTGATTTATACACTGACCAAGAGAATAGGAGTCTTTCTGAATAACAGCAAAATATTTTTCTGCCAAGAAAAGTGACTCAGTAAAGTCTTATACTAGTTTGAATGCTGTCCCGACAGATGGGGCACAACAGGAGATCTTGACTACAAATCTATTCCTACGTAATTCTGACTACAAATCCTAGACATTAATTTAAACAAAGTAACAAATCTATTCACAACATGTATGGTGCGCTTGCACTGTAACTACTGCTTTGTAAATATTTTGATGTGCCAAAAGAAGCTGCACCGTAGCAAGGAGGGGGGAGAGGAATTGTGCCAATTTCCATCCCTCGACGAGCACCTAGAATGTTAAGCTCCAGAGTTGCCTTGTACTGAGAAGGTATTTCCATCAATGCTGTCAATGCAAACTCTGCTTCTTTCCTGGACCTGTCCACATTTTTCGACATGATTTCTGTAAAATTAACAAACTGGAAATTGTCAAACGCTCGAGCAGGTATATTGTCATCGAATTCCCTCATCATATGCCACGGCCCATCTCCAACCCCAACTACAACAATAGACAAGGCATATTTACTTGCTTTCACAATTGCTTCAACTGTTCTCTTCTCTTGAGGGCTTAATTGACCAACCTGTCCATCTGCTATTATCAACAAAACATGGTATTGGCCACCACTCTGCTCTACAATACTGATTGCCATTTCAATAATAGGAGCAAACGACGTTGGTCCAGCAAGGCGTAATTGAGGAACTAATTCTTTATATCTACTCAGTACTTGCTCGAATCCATAACATACTTGTTTATCCTGATAGAAACTGAAGACTTGTTTGTCATGTGTTGAGGCATCACCAAATCCAAAACAAGGAATTAAGTTATCCTCATCAAACTTTGATAGTGTTCTTCCAATGATAGATATTGCTTGTTCATATGGATTTTGCTGATTATCCACGATGTGATGCAAACTTTTCCCTTGGAATGACCTTGCACCGGTCCACTCGTTGCTCTTGGTAAAATCGATCCCAACAATTAAGTTCGAAGACTCAAGTCCAGCACGTGCAAGCGCATCAGTAACCTGTTCTAAGCTGTTGTAGTCATCGTCGATCTTTGAATATTTCTTTGTTGTAGGAGGTGGACCATAATATGCCTGATAAGTCGGATAATTGTAGCTTGGTTGAGTATATTGTGACTGCGGATTGCCTGAATATCCACCAGTTTTCGGCCTTTTTGAACACTTGCCACCCATGAAATATGTAGATTGTTATATCTGTAGATTCTAACAAAGATCTATCTTAAGTGTACAATTTGTTTAGGCTAATACGAAAATAGGAATAAATAGAAAGGAGTATGAAATCTTGCTTCTGACGAATTATGAACAAAAGGGTTTACTATATCGGTATTTATAATACCACTTCTTGTCCCTTTCCAAGTAGGTAACAACCACATAACTTTTGTATTACATTAGGAATTAACTTTTTCAATTCCAAATAGAATAGGTTTTCCTATCCCAATAGGAATTGTTTCTTTCCATATTTATAATTTTGTTCTGGAAAAGAATATAATAATATTCCATTGAGATTAATTAATTTTCTTTATTTGTAAAATTAAATTCACATAATCATCAAATAATAAGTTAAATATTTCTCTAGCAAGAATCAGAACACTCATAAGCATGTGATCTATGCATATAAGTTTAACACTAAGGCATAGAGGTGATATACTATAGAAGACTTGCTCTATTCATACCAATGATGTTCCCAGCAAATCAAACATTAGTTTGTGGAGACTTCTTCACCCATACTGATATGCACGGGATCGTTCACAAAACCCCAAAAACCTTCACCTATTCGTTAAGGACCGTGATTACACTATCGAAGTCAGATTATTTCATCCCGTTATTTTTCTAACAACTAGTTCACTACCTTAAGGACAGTGATTACACTATTAGATTTATATTTGGTACAAGATAACTACTATTTGGAAGTGAACCAGAGTTGGCGAGGGAAAAAATATGCTAGTATTAAACAGTCAACCGATGCATTATTCATTTTTACAGGTTCACTGAAAATCAAAAAGTAACTAATCACATACAAACATTTCTCAACTGAGTTCTTCTTGCTTGTGAGTTGTGTGTATGAATAACACAGTCAGTTCTAGGGTACGAAATACACGTCAATACGTAGCCCTACTCGATTAGATTTTCGTCGAGGAACGAGCCCTCGGATTGGTCTACTGATCCAGAAACCAACTGTCCTGCACATGTTGCACAAGTACCAGCCCTACATGAATAAGGCAATTCCATTCCAGCATTTTCTGCAGTATCAAGTAGTGGCGGAGTCAGAATTTTCACTTTTAAGAACTTCGGCTTCATTTTCATTACCATCAGGCCCGACTAGTTTCACCTTGTACGTTGCCATTGCTGAAACTTTGAAATTGGAGAAAGATTTCAAGCCGAATGCTTTGGAAATACTCTTAACAGAACTTAAAGCACGTCGCGGCCTAGTGAAACCAGAGGATTTTTTTGATGCACCTTTGAGCAAGCTAGACGAAGGAACGCTGACAGTTGACATGTTTGCACCTGCGATACATAGTGTTGGGATCAAAATAACATGGTACATGCGGAAGCTAACAATACAAGCCTGGCGGACGATAAATCAGACGACAAAAGAATTATACTGAAATAGGATACTATAATAGGGTTTGATCGATCGATCCACATATAAAAGGGGACAAATGTAGAACTTTGGCTGACGGTAGATCACGTGTCCCATTCTGTCAAAAAGGGGACAAATGTAGAACTTTGGCTGACGGTAGGGATTTCTATAGCCTGAAAGTATAACGGGGGACTGGCTTATACAATAAAGCGAAGTAGAGAGACATAAATAACCCTTTTCCGAAATAAAAAACTATTGAGGGAAAAACCTCCCCTAAACAATAATCTTTAATGACTACATTATGAATGTTATTGTTGTTGTTGTGAAAAGCAGAGATCCTCAATTTATAGATGTCAAAATAAGACATATGAAGGATCTTTTTAGGAGTCTTTTTCTCGTCCTTTCAAGAAAGAGAATCCTAATAGATTAGAAATACATGCCAAAATCCTAACACATAGAACAACTTAATGAATAAGCTAAATTAATATCTACACATAATTAATCAAGATTTAAGAATGTTTTCACCAAATATAACTGGCATTATATCATGCATCATTTCAATTTCAATGAATTTCAGCTCAGCAGTGAGCCAAATTTGGCACAACTTGTAATCCGGAAAGTGTATCTGTACATACAACACATATTACCCAGCTGACAGCTGTGTCTTCTGATTTCAGGATTCACTTTGAATCAAGACCTTATTTTTAGAACGAGAGATTCGTTCAATCCTAAGAAAACAGAGGATACGACTTCTGTATTAAATAAGCTCACTTCTTTTTTTCATTTTCTTTAAAATAAAAACAAGATCTTTATGCACAAATAAAGTTACCTTACCCCCAAACAACCTAAATGAATAAATTACACGTCTTCATATACATTTCTATCACTAAATCATAGTTAATTAATCCATATTCGTACTTTAATTTGTTTAGTTAACCATGATTGATTAGTATGATCTTGTGTGAACACTAGGTGCGAGTAAGTTTTTACAATAATAAGATATTGCACTTTGTGAAATAGTATAGATTACTCTAAAGGTCAAGTTTAAGTCAGGTTTCATCACAATCACGCCTATTTAATAGGTAAAATTTAGAATTTTTTTAGGGGAAGTTCAAAGGATCAGATAGCTTAATGGACTACCTCTTGGGGAATGTGTCATGAGGTTTCGGGTTTGAGTCCTTAGCATGAAGAAACTTGTATATAATACAAAATTGGTCAGTTGACCGAAAATAATTGCATTTGCTAGTCCAAAAGCGTATAAATATGTATATTATATGTATATAATACACTTATACACAAAATATATATTTTGTTGGCTAATATTTTTTGGAACGGCTAAAAATATACATTTCTCAAGAATCTTCTGGGAGGGAGTGAAAATCAGCCCACCAGGCTAACCGAGGATGAGACTCCTCTCCATTTCCATGTCTCTCCATTTCTCCAAGTTTCTATTTGGATGAGAGCCACATGTCATAGTTAAAAATTGAAGGTTGAGATTTAATTACCAAAGCAAGGTCTTAACTATGATTAGAATTATAAACATTTACTTTATTTGTTCTCCAAATTTTCTGTAATCCCATGATTCTAGCTAAAAACATTACCTAATTCATTTTTTTAAAATCTCTTTTCCTACTTTATTACGAGCTCGTCTTTTTTTTTTTTTGAGCAATTTTTTTTCTTTGTCTCAAATTCATAGTCTTTATATTTTGAGTTAATCTTTTCTTGATTCTTTGTTGTATTCTCTTTTTCTTTAATTTGTTCAGTACTTCTTTTCATTTTTTCTTTTAACAACTGACAAATCAATGAGTGGCTCGCTAGAGTTTTAACATCCTACATATTTTTTAAAATTAAATTATACAAATATCTTTTTATTTTTTTAATTTTAATATTATACGTTAATTCAATTTTGTCTTATTGTTCTCACTAAGCATTAGATGCCTATTTTCCTCATCTTTGATGGGAATGTAAGAAGAACTGGACAAAAATTAAAGAACTCGTACCTATACTAAAAGAAAAAATTGTCAAAACAAACAAACAAACAAAAAGAGAAGAAAATCTCATAATAAAGTAAGAAAAGGAGAGATTTTTATTCAAATACATATGGATTAGATAATATTTTAGCTAGAATCATAGGATTACAGAAAATTTGGAGAACAAATAAAGTAAATATTTAGTATTCTAATCATGGTTAAGACTTTGATTTGGTAATTAAATCTCAACCTTCAATTTCTAACTATGACATGTGGCTCTCATCCAAATAGGAACTTGGAGAAATGAAGAGACATGGAAATGGAGAGGAGTCTCATCATCATCCGCTAACCGAGGACATGATTTAAAGAGTAGTCTCGGAGAAGGCCATATTTGTGCAAATCACCGTTGAAAATAGCCTCTCGTAGAAATACAAGAAAAGACTATATACAATAGTCACAATATAGTCCAATTCTTTCCGAGACCTCACAAATAGCTAGAACTTAGTGTATCGAGCTGCCATGCATCTAGTGCATGCTATTCTTGACATCAGACATTCGAAGAGAGTATCAGGGAAGAAAGTTTCTACTGAATAAAAAGAAAATCATAAAAACTCAAACAGTGAGTCCTATCTGCAAACAAAGGTTGGACACACAATCAATCATCTATTGTTGATACAAAGAAACAGTCAATTGTCCATGTCAACGCAGTCAGTTGATCAAACGGTCATTAGCACTCGACAGAATTACAGAACTGACTCCAACTTCATTTCTCTTAGGAGAAGAAAGTCGATCCTTAGACCATTCCTCTAAAGCTTTACGATGCAGAGCATTCATTCTGATATATGGCCGCTTTTCTTTGATCAACTTCTCAGCATTTTTCCAATCTTCTGCTAGACCCAGAGCTACTAACAGTGCACACATGACGGCGACACTCCTTCCATGACCTAGAGGAAACAGTACAAGAATTTACTATGAAATATCAGTGACAAGTTATCAGTTGACTGCAGTTAAACCAATGAAACAACATAGAGAAAAAACAAAGAAGTTAAGCTAAACAGTCTCCACACAGACATTGCTGTTAATTGGTGCAGTTTAAGTACATAACTTCTCACTACAAGCAAGAGAACACATTTCCTTCTAGAATTCTTGATCCTGAAATGATGACTTTAAAGAAAGATATAAAGATTTCGTAGCTGTAAGTAGGAGCCTGAAACGTTGGATCAGTCACTTATTTCATTTGGCAAATGTCACAATCAAAACGTCAAGACTTCTAAAGCAGTCCAAACCTATTTATTCAAAAATTTATAAAACGATAAGCACATCAGAAGTCTGTGATCTTATTAGGACAATAGTCCCAGGTAATCATCAGGTTCTTTGTCAGTAAAGAGCATTTTAACAACACAAGGCCGAATGGTGATCAGTACCCACAAAATCCTAGATTTGGGAATTGTATTCCATTTCCAAACCCTAGCTATACTAACATAAAGTATCAGTTGCAATTGCTTTCAACTTTTATAACTACAGTCAATGATGATATAGGAATGTTACGTCTCAATATTGGATTGATATTTCTTAAGGAACTGCGAGCTAGAACAATTTGTTTCATCAACCTTTTAACTCTCAACACAGATCACCCATCCACCATGAACATGTCGCAAGCAGTAGTCCTATATTCTATGTTGCTCGGACTCTCCGAAAATGTCGCTAGGTGCATGTCGGATCCTCCAAAAGTAGTGTATTGTTGGAGGATCTGACATGGTTGTGGCAGCATTTTGGGGAGTCCGCGCAACATAGCCTATATTTGCCTGGAAATCTATAATTGAAATAGTACCTTGTCGGCAATCTCAAGGACACCCAATGAACCAGCTCAAGATATCTAGAAGCACCCTTAATGAAATAAATGCAGATATATATGGGACGAAGATGCCCAAGATCCACATGGCCGGCAGATTCAAAGAAGAACCCAAGGGAAGGCTCGAATACATGAATAATCAATGAACAATGATTGATTGTCCAATCACTATGGATAAAATGAGTGGTTGAGGATCCATTACCTCAGAAGAACAATTACAACCACTTGCATAAGGGTAGAGCCCCAGTTAGTACTCTCTCCGTTTCAATTTAGATGATGTAGTTTGACTTGGCACAAAGTTTAAGAAAAAAGAAAGAAGACTTTTAAAACATGTGATTCTAAAAGTTTAAGGGGCAAAAGCTTGGTGGGGCCATAATATTTGTGTGGCCATAATATTTGTGTGGCTATAAAAGCTTCTCATTAAAGGAAAAGTAGGTAAAATAAAAAGTTTAAAGTTAAATTGTTTCTAAATATAGAAATGTGTCATCTTTTTGGAACGGACTAATATGGAAAGTGTGTCATTTAAATTGAAACGGAGGGAGTATTAAGTAGAAAGGCAGGCTATATAAAGAGCCTCATCCTTCTTGTCAAATAACTCAGGAAATGGCATGAGAAACAAGGAGAGAGAGAGAGAGAGAGAGAGAGAGAGAGAGAGAGAGAAAGCAGAAAAAGCAACAAATATCATGAAGGAAGAAAAAGCAGACAACATGTAGAGTAGGAACACATAAACCTGTACGCTTAAAAGAGCCCTTTGCAGCAAAAAACAAACTAATATAAGAGGGGTGAGAAGGACATCAAGGAGTATTAAGAGTCAGCGTTAGGCAACATAGCAGGAGGAGTTGAGTAATTGGATCTTAGGCCTTCAGCAGATCAGCATATATTGACACCTGCATAAAAAGGAATACCTTTGATTTGAGGAGATATAAATGCTCGGGGTATGTGAGCAGGTGACAACGCTATCTATGAGGAATTTGCAGGGTACACACATCAGGCGGGATGTAAAGGCACGACAAGGGAGAATTGTGAGATCGTTCATTACTATTATTTCATTTCCTCTTCTGTATGTTGCTTCAGCTATTACTCAATGATCATAG